CAACTATGATGTTACCTGATATATAAAATGTGTATGAAATTATGATATAATTTTTTTTTTTATGAAATCTCAGTCATCAAAATCTTTGATTTGATTTTGAGTATTATCTTTGGGATTTAGAGGATCCTTTACAAATATGTTACCAAGATCTCCTCATATATATTGTGCCTGGATATGTTTGTTTAAATCTCTCACGATCTTTTGAAAGATAAGAGTGAAATTTGGATGTTCAAATAAATTGGAATTCATTTTTTGATGGATTTATATCATATACGAATAAGTCGTTCATTCCACCATGTAAAGTAATTAATCTCGTGTTTTTCAAAAAGTCAAATAATCTCGAGGTTTCACTCTTGTATGTAAATGATTCCCCCCATGCTATTTTTTGTTCAACCCATACTTCTCATTAGAAATTTTCAGAATTGAGTGGCATAGAGGATTATTTTCCCTTTGAACACTTGAAAGATAACAGATACTTTGTACTTTTATATTATAGCACGACAACTTTTTAATTTCCTTTAAAATAAAATCAATTAGCTAGAAGTGTCTTTGAAAAGTGAAACCTCTAAAAATTTACTAGAGATGTTCCCTTTACAAATGAGGCCTTAACCTATTGTTTTGTACATATTGGCCTCATAATCTCATATTGATCAGCTATATTTTCAGCTCTATGCCCATGCAGAGTAACATTCTCTGTTTTGTTTTTCTTACCAAAATTTGGCTCTGTCTAACTAACTGACTAGAATCTTACTCCGCGTCCAATAGGTGCTAAACTGTGCTCACAAAACCGAACATTGGTACAGAGTATAATCAAGAACAAATTAATCCGATAATCTTAGTCATTAGTGCAAGACTGTAGGGGTCAATCGGAAATGAAAAACATTAGACAGGTATTACAATCATATATCTAGGCAGGGTCGTCTAAATCAATTTGGAGAGTTTAACTGTTTAAGGCCCTTGTTTCACGCTTGCATCAGAGCAAGAGACTAATATTCTGATAAGCGGTTTTTTTTACAAAAATTGGAGGATTGGGCTCTAAAAAATTGGGCCTTCATAGAGGCCCTGTGCTAAGGTCTATTTGCACAAACCCTTTGCCGGCCCTGTATATACGAGTACTTGAATAGCTACTTCCTATTAGGCTTATATGCAAATAGCAATTGACGAAATGTGCACAAAATATAATTCTGAAAAAGAATACACAACATGTAATGTCATAATTAATGTACAGTCATTAAGCAATCTCCTTATCTATATAACTTTTCCAAATAATGCGTCAAATTGACAACCACATATCTTTGGTCATTCTTCATTAGCGTATGCTGAAAATTTTAAGGTGCAGCATCCTGTACCTTGCTAGGTACATACAAAAAAATGCGGAAAGAACATGTAGCTGTTTTGTAAAGAATATATAGTTTTTTTGTAAAGAACATATAGCAGTTTTGTAAAGAACATTCAATTTTATGTTTTTTTTTAATATCTAAAGAACATATGTAATATTAATAAAGAACATGATATTACTATTTAATGAACATTACTTGTATATACCCATCATAATTTTAAGACAAAATTTAAAGAACAATTCACAATAAATAATGAACAGTATATCACAAATAAAAGTACATTACACTGATAATCAAAGAACATGGACATATGTTCTTTTCACTTTTTTTTGGTGCAAATATGTTCTTTTTACCTTAGGCATATGTTCAATACATTTTAATATTATGTTCATTTCACTATAACTATATGTTCTCTACATTTATATAATATGTTCTTTCCTTGAAACGTCTGTACCATGCAAGGTACCCACGCCTGTAGGAACCACACACTAAGTGTATGCAGGATCAGGGGCCATATATATTCAAGACAAACTTTTAAATAAGACGGATGTTCAGTAAATTACTGAACATCCGTTATAAAGTGACAATAAAATGTGCAAAAGTTACACTAAAACGCATAAAAGTTACCTTGACATATATAAAAGTTATTTATGCTTCATTGATAAATTTGACAAAAGTGACGCTAAATTTGACAAAAGTGACACCAAATCTGACAAAAGTGTACCCGATGACTCAAATCGCACTATCAATCTTATCATCTTTCACACGAAGTGTACTTCGTTTATATAGCATATGGAATATTAGTCAACAAAAACAAAAGATCAACAACAATCGAACAATGCCAAATTGCTAACAATCAACTCACTACATTTATTTAACTCCGCCTAATACAATATTTTACCTTTTAATAATACAACTTAAATTGATAATAACTAAACTTGATAATTTTATTTAAAGACGGAGGAAGTAACACAAACAATGTACCGTAGCTGTTAATTAACTCCGATTATGGATGAAAGAAACAATTCGTTGACGAATAACACTAGCCTCAGGATCCGTATGATCATTAATATTAAAGCAATGCTCTTTTTCTTTGTTCTCCATAACCTCCACCTTCCCATTCCACCCACTGTTGATCAACTCATCCACATACAATTTCCCAACACCATACAAAAAGTCCTTCTCAGCTAGCACAACCAACACCCGGCCGCACGCGATTCGAGCTAGATCCTCTACAGCAGGCTTCATCCTAGGATCCTTAGGGCCTACATTTGTTGGACACATGAACATCCACATTTTATCACCTTCAGCAAAATAAGGATGCAACAATATCATCCCTTCAATCTTTGCACCCTCAGGTAGTCCAATGGACCCTACCTTAGCTAATAATGTGTGCGACATGGTCCCACCTGCTGAGTTCCCACTGACAAATATACGGCTAAGATCACCGTATTTGTTGAGCCAAGGCTCAGGTCCAGTGCCCTTACTGTGAGACGCCACCCACTCGAGTGCGGCCCATGAATCGTCGTAACACGCAGGAAGAGGGCGTGCAGGGAAAAGGCCGTACTCAACTGAGACAACAATGACGTTGGCATCGGCGGTGATGTGGGAGCCAAAGCGGGTGTAATCCTCGGAGAAGGCGGACCGCATGCAGAAGCCTCCTCCGTGAATGAATAACACGACAGGGAGTTTTCTGTGTGGTGCACGCGCTGGTGAGCGCAGAAGAAGGGATGAATACTCGAACGGAGACATCCTTGGAGATTTCGACGTCTTTGATTAAGACGCCGAAGGTGGAGCCAAAGGAAGGAGGGACAATCTTAGAAGTGGGAGTAAAGACATGGATACGACCGTCTTTGAGAACGTTGAAGAAGAGGAATTTATGGGCTATGTCTGATTCAGAATAATTCCACTCATCAGATTCAGAGGAGTTGGTGTTTGAAGACATGATTGATTAATGTAATGGGAATTGAATTGAATTGAATGTTGTGTTAGTGATAAATTGGTTGGAGATAGTTCTGAATTTAAATAAAATTGGTGATACAATTGAGATGGACTTTCTGTTTTGGAGCAAGCAACGAGGATAGTATGACAGTGTGCTTTTGAATTTTGAATGTCACATAACTCACTTTGGTTGATTTTTATTAAATTAAACTAGTGCATCGGAGCATTGCACCGCTTGTTACTTTAATTAGACCTTATTTGTATATGATATCCTTTTCTTTTAATAGATCTTGTGATTTACAAATTGTAATTATATATATTTATTTTCATGTTTATACATGTTGATGATTGATTAATTGATTTAGATGGTTGGTTGATAATTTGCAATAATCATCTTTCTTATAAGTGGTTAGATGTTCAAATCTCAATAAATGGTTTATATAATGGTAAGAAATGTGAGATAGCAGATAGGATAAACATTTATTTCCTTTGTTCTTTTTTACTTGACTTGTTTCTTTTATCACGCTTGTCAATGCAAAATTTTAACGGTCAATAACTTAAATTCTCCATAATTAAGAATTATAAAAGTTATATACTATGATAATACTTATTGAGGCGAATCCAAAAAGATCATACATGAATATATTTTTTCTTACATATTATTCACAAAAGACGGTCAAAGGAGGGGTGGTGAATAGTGTAAAAGACAAAGCGGGTCAAGTAATAAAGAACGGAGGAAGTATATATTAAGTGTAAGGCTCCATTGGTGAAATTGTAAAATGGGTTGTGTTATGTAAAGGACTAAAGAAGTAATAGTAAAGATAGTGGAATAGATTTTTGAATTATACTTGTAGATAAAAATTAAAAAGTAAGAATAGATTCTCAGTTTAGTGAAATAATTTAGGGGGAGTGTTTGGTTAGGAGATTTTTGGTGCAAAAAGAGTTGTTTGGCCATTTTAAAAAGCACTTTGAGATATTTGGTAAAGAGTTTTTTGGATCCAAAAACTTTTTTCTAAAAAGATTATATGAGGGGAGTTTTTTGAAAAAGAGTTTTTAGCTTTTTGGTTGTTTTATACTCTAAAACAATTAATAACCAACATGTTACATGTACCAAACACCTTTACACAAACCACAAATTAAAATCAAATAAGCGAAACAACTAATGCAATTAGTTAACAACTAATAGATGATTAAAACAACTACTCAATAACATCTAAACGCTAATTGCCAAGCATGGCCTTAAAGCATAATTAAATTAAATTTTTAAAAGGCATGTTGAACAATGTCTTATCCACACCATATGGTTATCAAAAGATCGCCTAGAGATTGCACTAGAAGTCCCAATCTTAGTTTCTTACAAGTAACTTATCATCGCTCGAGTATTAAAATGCATAAATGTCCTGATTAATAGCTAATTAGCTATTGCCTATTTGTTAAACTATCTCTACATTGGCAAGAATGTCCTGTGAATTGAGAATTCCTTCTTTTTCCAAGCTCCACACGGGTTGTGCCCTCCAAGGACGGTAAATTATCAAAACAATACACTCAGCTCGTATACAAGAATCCGTTATATGATCGGATGTCATAAAATCTAAATTTAAACAAGACTAAACACACATTTTCTGCATTTTAGGCCTTAAAATTAAAACACTTCAGTTTACATATTTTTATTAACTCTGATCATTAGTCCATTAATCATCCTGATGAATACAGGGGTCATATAATTCTAGTATTAACTGTAACAAAATGTAACATCCATGAACAATTAGTAAAGTACTAAACCAAAGTTGAAAATGTTTCACCTTTTACAGTCCACAAATACAAATAAACGTACAACTGAACAATGCACATTTAACATCGTCCCATCAATAATTTAATTCGTTGCATACAAGATTTTTTTTTTTTATTTGCAAATATATTTCTGAAGATTAGCCAGGGAAAAAATTAGATAATAATTATTTTATCATATCAACTCGGATTATGGATAAAGGAAGTGATCCGTTGACGAATAACAAGAGCCTCAGGATCTGAATGATCATAAATATTAAAGCAATGATCTTTTTCTTTGTTCACCATAATGTCCACCTTCCCTTCCCACTCACTCTTGATCAACTCATTCACGTACGTCTTTCCGGCACCATACAGTCCATCTTTCTCAGCCAGCACCACCAACACCCTGCCACACGCGATCCGAGCTAGATCCTCTACAGCAGGCTTCATCCTCGGATCCTGAGGCCCTAAGTTTGTAGGACACATGAACATCCACATTTTATCATCTTCTCCGAAATAAGAATGAATTAGTATCATCCCTTCAACCTTTGCATCTCCAGGGAGTCCCATTGACCTTACCTTAGCTAATAATGTGTGAGAGATAGTCCCACCTGCAGAATTTCCACTGACAAAGATCCGGCTAAGATCACCGTAATCGTTGATCCAAGGTTCAGGTCCATTGCCCTTACAGTGAGATGCCACCCACTCGAGTGCAGCCCAAGAATCGTCGTAACAAGCAGGAATAGGGCGTGCAGGGAAAAGGCCATACTCTACTGAAACAACAATGGCATTTGCATCAGCGGTAATGTGACAACCAAAGCGCGTGTTATCCTCAGAGAAGGCAGATCGCATACAGAAACCTCCTCCATGGATGAATAACACGACATGAAGTTTCTGTGTGGTGCACGCGTTGGTGGGTGCAGAGGAAGGGAGGAAGATTCGGGCAGAGACATCAGTGGAGATTTCGACGTCTTTGATTAAGACACCGGAGCTGGAGCCAAAGGAAGGCGGAACATTCTCAGAAGGGGGAGTCAAGACATGGATACCACCGTCTTTGAGAACGTTGAAGAAAAGGAATTTTTGAGCAATGTCTGATTCAGAGTTGTTTCGGGTGAAAACAATGGGACCTTGCCGAAGGTCCGCTGAAACGGAGAAGACTGGATTCGGTCCAAGTTATGCTGGGCCGAAGGTTTCCTGCACAGTAAACACACGTAAACTAGCCTCGGGGGTGTTGCCGAGGAAGGCCCCTCCGATGCTAAAGTCAGTACAATGTGTAGAAAGAGAACACTATGCAAGAGAATTAGTTGCTTGAGGCTTTGCTTGAATATATGAGAATATATGAATCTATCAATCAATCCCCTAATGTATGAATATTGATGGCTTTTATACCTCTTCATACATGGAGAGGTTGGGCCTTTGCCCAATTGGCTTGCTTTGAGGGCTGACCTTTGACTTTAGCACAATTGGAGAGTTGAACCTTGACCTTGGGCTTTTAATTGGATCATTTAATGCCTAGGCCCAATTGGACTAAATTGGACCCAAACAACTTGCCCCCCTGACCCGATTTGGAAGGATGACGGGTCGGGTTTGATTTAATTCAGAAAAGGAGGGAAGTAAATGATTTAATTAATCCAAAAATTTGAATTTAAACCGTAATTAATGAGATAACAACGGTTAAGGCGGATGATGGTGGAAGTTGGACGGATAATGGGCAGTTTAATCGCAAGGTCGTGTGTTTAACGGTTACTTAGTGGGGTATTTAAGAGAAATTGAAACGCGGACTCCCCGTATCCCATTCCTGGAGATATAAACAGAGGCGCGTCATCTCTCCTCACTTATTCACCAACACAAACCCAGAATTCTCGAGAGAAACCAAGAACCCGCATCAAAACTTCGCAAATTCCCCGAGCATTAAGCTTAGAAACTGAGACTTGCCACTACGAACTCGTAAATCGGCAACTTTCGCTTCAGATTAAGGTAAATTCCTTTGATTTCAGTTTATTTTTCTTCGAATTCGAACTCCTTCCCTTTTTTTTTCGAATTTTTTCTTCGAAATAATCAATGGCAAGAGGAGTTAGAGGTAGAGCCCATGCTCCAAGAAGAGCAAGGCCAATTCCCGATCCTAGGAACAGGATTGGGACCTGGAATGGACAAAGGCCAGAGTCTGACCCTGCAGAAGGGATTAGGGCGACTCCAATTTCCTCGGCTCCTCCTCAGAGAACGGAGGGGCCGAGCGCTTCTGGACGGGACGATGAAGTTCCCGCTGTCCTTTGGGATATCCTCCCCGGGTTTTCAGAGTGGGAGAATGCCGAAGTAGCTTCGGCCATGATAAAGAACCGCCCCTACTCATGGTGGGTGGAGAATGCCGAACAATATCGGTTTGCCGAGCAAATTGAGTTGCATTACGGCATTTTTGAAGCTGATGGGTATTGGTGCCGAATGCCCGCGGCATCCGATAGAATCCATCGTCCACCCCCAGGGTATGTGGGGGTGTACACAAGACAGCTTCAGTACGGGCTGAGGTTCCCTTTGGACGTATTCGTCCGAGACTTGCTGATCCATTACAATATCTCCCTATGTCAGTTAACTCCCACCAGCATCCGAAGGGTGATGACATACTTATGGGTCTGCAAGTTCTTCAAGTATGTGCCGAACCTGCACTGCTTCAAAAAGCTTCATCGGCTAGTGCCAAATATTCAAAGTGGGCACGGAAGCCATGGTTCTGGGTGGTACCGGATTGAGTCTCGGCCCCAGTACCTAACCATGTGGCCGAACGACTCTTTAGACAAGGACTGGAGAGGTCAATGGATTTGGGTTAGGGCACCCACAGATCCGGGCCACCCTTGCGTCTTCAGCGCTCCCCGGTACCTTGCTGAGCCTGATCCCGACATGGGAAGTCTAGGTCCCCCCGCAGATAACGGGCCGGATCCGAACCTTGATCAACAACATATCTTCGGCAAGCTGCCGAACCGGGGGGGCAGCGGCCGAATGCAGCATATCCCGGAGACTTGGCTCCCCGATACGCATTATGTTTTCCAAGAGAACATGCTAGCAGCTGTTGGCCTCAGCCGAAAGTTTAAGGATGGTAAGCTTCTTCGGCTGGGGCCGAGGCTTTTTAATTATCTCTTTTTCTTCTCTCACTTCGCTTTTTTATGCTGTGCCAACCTATCTGAACTGACCTTTCCCCTTTTCTTTTTCAGAACGGGACGAGACCAACGTTGGCATTAACTACGCTCGTCTTGGTGTCAACCGAGAACGAGTTGTAACTGATCGGGCCCCGTCTATCACTGAACCGAGGCATAGGGAAGTTCATCTAGACTCTTCCCACTTCCAAATTGAGGCTGTTGCTCTGTATCAGAGGCATAAGCCTTGGTGGAAGAAGAGAGACCCCTGGTTTCAGCTGCTGGACGAAGAAGCTGAAGCTGCCCGTACAGCCGAAGAGGTTGCACGGGTTCTCGAAGCTTGCGAAGGAGGAGAAGGGTCCTCCAGAGCTGCTGAAGAAGAAGCTGCAGCTAGGGCAGCTGAAGAAGACGAGGCTTTGCTGAAGACCTCGGTGAGCTTTCAGACTTTGTCTTTCTTCTTTTTTCTCTTTTTTTTTTTTTTTTTTTTTACTCACATTCTTCCTCCCCCCTGTCTGTTACAATCTGAAGAGAGTAACAGACACAGAGAAGGGAAAGCCCCTGTTCGTCCCGAAGACCAAATACAAGAAGAGTCTTCAGACTCAGACATGGACGAGCAGCCTCTTCAGAAAAGGCGCCGAAGAATGGCCATCATCGGCCCTCACGACTTTCAGCGGAGGCCGATGACCATCGGCATTGAAATAAGGGAACCCGAGGAAGGCAATGGATCGCCGAGGGTTCCCCGGCCACCACCCCAATCACCTCAAAAGACCCCTCCGCCACCTCCTGAGATGGAGGTGGATCAGAGAACTCCCGAATCTAAGGGAGGGGTCCAAGAAGCAATTCAGGAGAGTGCTGCTGAGCACAAAAATAAGGATGCGTGATGCCCAGTGCTGAGGGTTTCACGGCAGACATTGCAAGAGAGGTTGAGGCTTTCGTCCTCACCCCTGAAGAAGAAGAGGTCATAGTAATTGACTCTTCTGAGAAGGATGATGCTGAGCCATTCAAAGCTAAAGAAGCTCCATCGTCATCCTTTCCTTCTTTCCAGACTCTGCAATATGGAGAAATGGGTTTCTCGGCCCCCCGAATTCCAATCCCAGATCACATCTGGGACCTCATATGGGGTCAGAACCGTGAAGGTGCTGCAGCCTACTTCGGCGATTTTGCTGGCATGTCCGAAGTAGATAGGGCAAGAATCTGGTCGCTGAAGGCCACTGCTGGGATGGGCGAATCCAGCAGATCAGTTCCTGACCCAGCCAGGTCTAACCAACTGCTGATGATGCAGGTGATTTTCCTTGCCTTTATTTCCTCTAAAATTCAGCTCTATTTTTATTTACCTTTATTTTTTTTTTAACTTGTGCTCCTGTTTTCAGTTCGTGCACAATCAGACTCTCACTGTAGAGCTGATAGATACCCTACAAGATAGGGTAGATGCTGCCGAGCACGACAAGAAGGTAGCTGAGGAGGAATTAAAGCTTGCTAAGCTGAAGCAAGCAGCAGCTGAAGAGAAGCAGCAGAAGGGTGAGGAGTACGAGAAAAAAGCTGCTGAAGCCCTTAAAACCTTCTGCGACGCTATGGAGAAGGAAGTTTTTCCCCCACTGATGGAAGGGGAAAAATTCCTCCAGGAGCACATGGGAGTGGACGTCTCCAAATTCAAGGCTGCCGTTGAGAGCCGTATTCAGGAAGGAGCTGCTGCACAAGCTGAAGTGCAGCAACGGCTAGAAGCTCTTGAAGCCAGCAGAATGGCTGCTGAAGAGCTGCTCCAAGCCAGGGATGTCCAACTCTCAGAGGCTGTTGCTGCTGCTGAAGTTCAAAAAGCTAAACTCCATGAGGCTGGGGATCAACTGATGGCCAAAAAAGTAGAAGTGGCCCAGGCTCAGACAAAGGCTTCCCAAGTTCAGCAGGAGCTGAATGAGCTGAAAGGTTCCTCCTCCAAGCTCGCCGATGAGCTGAAGAAATCCAAGGAAGACTTGGAGGAGACCCAGAAGAAGTTGGCTGATGCTGAGGCTCTACTCAAAGTCCGTGTCTATACCCAGGAAGAATATGAAATGGGTTTCAGAAACGGGTTCAGAGTATGCCGAAGAGTCTGCCTTCATGCTGAGCCGAAGCTGGACTGGTCCAAATGTGCTGAATGGGTCCAGAATCCCGAAGACCCTCATATGAAGTATGCAACTCCAGTCGAAGCTGAAATTCTTAAGGCTGAGGAAGCCGAAGAGGAAGCTGAGAGAATGGAGTTGGAGGCTGAACAGAGGGAAAGGGAGGCTCGGCAGAGTGCAAAGCCTGCTTCTTCTGCTGCTGGGGCTGAGGCCACCATGGGGCTCAACAACGCTGATCAGTCTGATCCTCGGGCTGAAGCATAGGAACTCGGGCAGTCGTCTTCAGAATCTTGCGGTTCATCATGCGCTTAACTTTAGACTTGCCGCTTTCTGAATTTTTTGCCTTGTTTTTTGCTTCAGCTTGCCTTATCGTACAACAGTTTATTTTTTTGCTTATGTACGTATTTCGGCAGCTGTTATTTTCCGCTTGTGGGCGGTTGCCGATACAGTTTAATTGAACTTGTAGCTCAATTTCTGAGCATAAATTATTAATTTGATGCTCTTTTCTTCAGCTGCTTTGTTTTTGAATGCTTTACTGTTTCTTTCATTCTGCCGAACATAAACTTGCACTGATAGTGCTTCTTGCCCCCCCAGAAATTGAAGTATGGCTTCAGCTGAATAAACAATTTCTTCACTTCTTTAAAATGGGTATCCGAAACACAGGGCCAACTGAAGGCAGTGCTTCTGGAATACAAGTCTTACTGAAGATTGACTTCAGCTGAAAATTGGATATCTGAAACACAGGGCCAACTGAAGGCAATGCTTCGGATATTAGCTTTCTGGGATACAAGGCTCAGTTAAGGCAATATCCCAGAATTGTCCATGGACTCATGACTTTGGAGAACAAATCTTACTGAAGTTGGACTTCAGCTGAAAGACCTGTGTTCTTTAAAAAGATGCATATCCGAAACACAGGGCCAACTGAAGGCAATGTTTCGGATAATGGCTTTCT